AGCTCAGCAGATTAAAGCTCCTGCAAGCAGGGACAGGGGCTTGCTGTGCTGGCCCCGCCCCCTGAGCGCGCTGAGACAGCGACTGAGACTGGGCGTGGTGGCGTGCGCCTATAATCCTAGCACTTGGGAGGCTGTAAACTGGAGAATCACTACGAGTCCGATCTAGTAGTGAGACCCTGAACACCCTGTAAACCCTCCCCACCTCTCCCCAAAAAGGATATCATTCCAAAAACCTCTTGTTTTTGATTTTCGAGATCATCCTAGTAGACTGTAGAATGCACTAAATTTTCTGGATAAGGACAGTGTGTGGTCATGGAACATGGGCTCAAATAACACGGGCTGAAAAGAAAAGGTGGACACTGTATTTGAGAACCAAACATTACGACTTCATATGTAATAATTAATGCAATGAATATCACATGTTTTATAATTTTATTTTAAAGAAGTAAGATTTCAAACAAGATCATAAGAGTATAACAGTGGTCAACACATTGCATAGTATTATCTTTACTCAGAGTACATGATAGCAACATTTAATTATCCAAACAATATTAACACAACCTTTCTTATCAGTGAACTAAGAGAAATTAGTAACATAACTATCTCATCTAATATACATATATATATGTATAATATATATATATATATATATATACTCTTTTTGGTTTCTCTGCCTCCTTTTCTCCATTCCCCTAACTCAGTTTCTCTTTCCTTTTTATTTTCTTCCCACAGTGTGAGAAGCTGAAAGAGTAAATGCAGTTAAAACTAGACATTGAAATGTTCCTGTTTTTAACCTTAATCTAATAAATGCAATAATTATACCTATAAATAGGAGAGTCTATGTTCTAAATAAACAAACAATTCCCATCCCATTCTACTCCTAGGTAAAATGGGATATTTATCCACAAGTTTTCTTAATTTTTTCAGACAAATGTAAAGAAATCCTGGTAGAGAAGTATAGTTACTAATGTACCACTTGCAAATAAGGTCAGTAAAAGCTGTTACTAAGTTGTTTTTCATAAAAGGTAATATGTTCTAATATCTGGGAGGAAATAGAGATTCTCTTTCATTTGTGATTGAATTGCCTCCAGGTAATTCAATATAGAAAATATCTATAGTGAAAGTGAAAAACAGAATGGCTGGATGAGGACACATCTGCATCACTGTAAAGCTGAAAATTTATAGGTTGAACTTCCTAAGTCAGAGACCACACTTTCAGTCACATCACAACAAAACTCTGCCCACGATTGTCAGTATATGGTGTGTATGGGGGGGGGGAGGGTTAAAGACACAGACACACAGAGAGAAGAAGAAAGAGACAGAGAGAGAGAGACGGAGAACAGATCAGAAAGAACAACTTCTTTAGTGGCTAAATGTTACACACATAGCTTAAAAGACTGCATTGTCTGGCTTCTGTGAACTGTGTGACTGTTGTGGAGGAACGCTCAGAGATTCAGAGAGGTCAAGGGCGAAAAAAATGAAAAGCATCAGGGCTGGGACGGCCATCCTAGCTAGCATTTGTAGGGGCACCCTCTTTCACACATGCAGAAGGGGTAATCCTAACTGTGTTTCCTACTTCATAACACTGAACAAACAATCAGAAGAATTAACGAAGAGAAGATTGTCTTAAAAGCTGTGGAAGTAGATATAATTATAGGGAACTGTAGTGTTCTGAAGATTATCAACAGCAAGGATCTCCTTGGGTAGCAAACAAAACTAACTTTGGAGTTTGAAAATAACCTTTGTTTTTAGTAACATGAATAGTCAGAAAACATCTTGTTTACTTTGTACTTCTTATACTTGCTCACCTTGTGTCAATATCCATCATGTGAATTCAGATTATGAAGCACTTGACAATAAATTTGTAGGACTAGAAGGCTCAGCACTGTTATAATCTAATTCCTCTCTAATGGGAGAAAAGAGGCTTGTTTTATGAGTAACTGAAAGAGCTGAAAACTTACACAGAAATTTGAGTTGAGAAAAGTATTCTGATGAATCTTGTAAATGTCTCTGTTCTTCAAAACTTCAGTCCTGTTTATATGAACTTAATCACTATGGTGGTTTTCAGAAATGAGGAGTGATTGACAGAAAATGTGATGATTCACCTCTGGATTTCAACATTCCTGAAATGAACCACAGAAAAGCCCTAAGGACAGGAGTGCTGATAGGCACTTTCAACACTGGGCTGCTCATTGGACAATCTTGTGGAAGCCCTCTCCTCTTGGAAGAGGTCACCAGTTTCTAAGCTGCTCCATGCTTTCTGGAGCTTCTGTTCATGGGGAGCACTTTACCATTAAGGAGGAAACCAATCCTTCCACAGTCTTCATAGCAAAGATTCTTCAAAGAGGTACTCATCATTGGTTCTTTTGTTCCTCCCTAGCACCACTTCCACTCCTGGGAATATGGTGTTTCCTTTTACAGTGTGTATTGATACTTTTTACTGCTAGCTTTAATTGTGTAAATTAACTAAGTCACATGTTTCCTTTTGTAATGTGTATCGACACTTTTTACTGCTAGATTTAATTGTGTAAATTCCTGGGAATAATATTCATTTGGGCTATATTTGGTCTCATGAAAGTACGTCACACAATCATTAATTTTAATTGCAATCGTTAAACTTTCGTGCCACCAAACAAGGGCCAGCAAGCTAGGTCAGAGGCCTAAGCACCTGCTTAGGCCAAGTACAGGGACTGGGATTAGATCCACAATACCACATGCTGTGCCACTCTACCCCCACCTGCATCCCCTGCTCCCCACCCCTGCATGATGAGCCTGCCACCCAGTCCCAGTGTGGTGGCACATGCCTGTCATCCCAGCACTGAGGAGGCTGAAAATAGGAGGATCACTTCAAGTCCAAGCTGTGTAGTGAGACCCTGTACCAAAGACATAAAAAATTAAAAAACACAGAGTGTGTGGTTGAGACACTGTTCCTATGGTCTCATGATTTAGTGCTGGCATGTCAATATTCACAAGAGGAATTTATAGCGAAAGAATCATTGACTACAACTATGAAAATAAAAAGAACACAGGTATCCTTCTGTTTTTACTTTACATAAAATGTATTGAGGGAGTCATCTTCTGTTGAGTAAACATAAAACTGTTATTGAGATCTATGGTCAAGAAATACAGATTTTTTTGAAATCTTAGAAATTATCTAATCGGAACATACCATTATAATGAATAGAGCAGCTCTGATTAATTACAGAGTTTAGCACATGCTTGGTATTGCTTTAAGTAGTATGCACACATGCACACACGTATGCATGCATGTGCATATTTATATCTCATATCTTTATGCTTTATTACACTTGTGCAGTGCAGATCTTATTTTCTTTGTTTTACATATTAGGAAAGGAAGGCTCAGGGAAAATAAATGTCCTAAGGTAACATAGCAATTGATGAGTCTAGTTTTATATCTGGAGCTACCTTCTTTCATAGCATGGTTTATCTTCATTATGCTCTGGAGTTGCAAAGGCAGAAATAAAAATAGACTTTCTACCTCTCTTTCCCACTGTCCTTCCATTAAGGAAGGTGGGCTTTCGTTTTCCAACCTTCAGCCTCAGTGCAATCTACACTTGCACCCTGTGGTTTGCTACATTTACTGAACCATAGGAAGGTGCAAAGGTATTACAGAAGCACAGACATTAAAACCAACGATTGTCCTTTTATAGGAAATAAGTTATTTCATGGAGGGAGAACAAAGGAAAGAACATACTATTCTTACTTTGATGTTTCTTTGAATATTGGCTTGTTCTCTCACTGGCCAGTCTAGATAAGACATCTGAAACAGTTACAAACAGTCCTTCACCGCACACATGCAGAATTTTCCAACTATGGTTTGAAGATTGAGATTCCTGTACTCAGGCTATTTGGCTTTGATTTGAGTTATTTTGTATGTTCTTCAGGTGACAGAGTTAAGCTTATAGAGTGCAATAATCTGCTAGGCAAAGATATTACTTTTTGGCTGGAAGAAGAAAATAAGAAGTTTTCTCTCAAAAAGATGTTTCATTTACCTATTTATAATGTTTAGTAACATTTCCTCTTTCCTTTAGGGATTATACATTAATAAACTTAATTTAGAGAAAATTAATTACATCATGCTTTTCAAACAGTAATTAAGATAGTTGTGGGCTATGGAAAGTTAAACCCAATTCTCCATTACTTATGAGTATGACATTTGGTTGGGATGTAAGATTAGGTTTCAGAACATAAAATACCCTTCAGATTGAGAATATTCAAAAGTGGCTACGTACAAGTTTTGTGTCCACAGTTTCTGCCTTTGCTATAAAGGTGAAGCAGTGTGGAGTGGAAAGAATGGTGAGCCTGCTTCTGCTTTCCTGAGTAAGGCTCTGCTTCTCCCATCTTAACTGTGTGCTCTTGGGAATGACATGAGCCCTTTTCTAAGTGAGTTTTCCTTAGCACCTAAGCTTAAAGTTTTGCTACATTCTTTTATAGGGTCATTCTTTGCTAATGTACATTTGAGCCATGTCAATCAATTCAGATAGCTCAGAATATCTAGGGAAGGAACCAACAGAAGCCCTTGTTTCTCTCAGTCCAAGCTGCTTTTTTTAGATATGGGACTCATTAAATCTTTACCTGGCTGGCAGGATAGCCAATCTGTCTTTTTTTCTCTTCCCCTCCCACTTAAGAGATTGTAAATAGAAACAAGTTTATCTGCAAGTAGTGCATCTGGTGCTGCCAAGGATTTCAGCTGTCACACAGGACTATGGTGTACACAGCTTTGAGTAGGGTCTTTGGACTCAGTATTTTGCCTTCAGCAGGGGCCAGGGGCACAGCAAAAACACATTATTACTTTACAAATGGACATTATCTGCTCAAATCTGCCACTTTGACATGATCTAAAGGATAGAAGATCAACTGGTGTGGTCCCTAAGGTCTAGCGCGAGCCTGAACAACTGGTTCTGTGTGTGTGTCACCAGGATGACAGTCTGTATAAAAGTGAGCAGTGTTTCCCAAGTTCAGTCTTAGAGCACCAGCCGAGCAATGCACAGAGCAGCCCTGTAGCCGACTTCCATCACCTTCACCATGAGGACAGCCCCTGTGCGCGTGCTTCTGACCTTGGCGCTTTGCCTTGTGCGAGGTGAGTGATTTGCATGCCATTTAACCTCTTCCCACACACCTCAGAGCCCGAGGAAGGCATCTTCTGCCCCTCCACTTGCCAGGAAAAAGATGTAGATCTAGATTTTTTTCTATATGTAAAATCTTTTTCACACATAGAATTTTGAATATTTATGTATTCATTATATATTCATTATATGTGGACATATAATGACATTGTTATCTTGAAAAGGCAAGTAGTTGGGGAACATGTAAATTTTTATCTATGAGAAATCCTTTGATTAATTCAATATTTGTTCTGTAAAGTTGATACATGCTTTTGCATGTGCCTTTCACTAAGTATGTTAACTCACACCACACATATATGTGTGTATATTGAACTATATTAGAAATTTAAAGCATATATAAATAATATATTTAATATTATATGTACAAATAAAATGATAAAAACCTATAACTGTTTTTATGCTAAAGTACTACAACCTTCTAACCTATTTTTGTGTTTACAAATTCTTAATGGATTTAAAGTGTTGCTTTTAAAAGGAAAAGGATTTTGTGGGAGCTAGAAAATATGTTTTATATTTGCTATTTGATACAGAAGAAAAACAGGTTGCCTAGATTTATCTAGTTCCGAGTCATTCAATTTCAAAAAAGAAAATCGTAAAGATAAAGTCAGTAAGATAATTATATAGAAACGATGCCCACCTTCCAAAGATGAGCATAGGTACAAGAAAGCAAGGAATGAAAGAGTGGATAGTATGTTTTAATTAATCTTAACTTTTGCTGTTATCTCTAATATTTATACCTAAAATTAGAAGATAAATTTGCTAGAATTCAAAAAGTGGAATTTTTGTGTATGTGAGATATAGACTTCTTTATATGGCTTAATTTTTAAAATTATTTTAAATTGGTATAATAATCTTATGTACGTATTATGTTATAATTTATAAAGGGAGACTGTCACACCTTAAAAGATTCTTTTGTAAAGTAGTCATTTGAAGGGTATCAGAGAACATAGCAGTATGATTTTCTAAAGTAATTATACATTTCTGAGAGATTGAATGTGAACATATATAATAATCTACTACAATGTCTTCATTTCAATTGTCATGGCAAATCTAAATGTTCTCAAAAAGTTTGTGGTTTTACCATATATTACCATTAAAAAACCCAAAATATGGCACTGAGTGATTTTTTTTTTTAATTTTACTGAATCTTTCGTAGTCCCTTAACTTTTGTTTCTGCATTTCTGTCCCAGATGCTTCCAGTGAGGATGCAAATCAGGTCAGTCTGCTTTTTCTCATTGAATTCCTTCCAAGATCTCTAAAATAAATGGTTTGTGGCCAACACCTTCATGCTAATAACACAGACATGTTGCGCCTATAGGTACTAATAGCTTTTGTTGAAAACACAGAAACAGGTTTTTATGGATGAGCCATGAATTTCTCTGTTCCTCTGTCTGTCTCTGCCTCTGCCTCTGCCTCTGCCTCTGC